GAGAGGCGGAGAGACAGAGAAGAAGATCTTCCGTCCGATGATTCACTCCCCAAGTGAGCACAACGGCCAGAGCTGAGCCAATCCGAAGCCGGGAACCAGGAACCTCTTCCGGGTCTTCCACGCGGGTGCAGGGTCCCAAGGCTTTGAGCTGTCCTCGACTACTTTCCCAGGCCACAAGCAGGGAGCTGGATGGGAAGCGGAGCTGCCGGGATTAGAACCGGTGCCCATATGGGATCCCGACGCATTCAAGGCGAGGACTTTTAGTGGCTAGGCCGTGCTGCCGGGCCCTCAGTGCCATGTCTTAACAGGCTAATCCTCCATCTCCACATGCAGACATCCCCATATGAGAGCTGACTGGTGTCCTGACTTCTCCATTTCCCATCTAGTTCTCTGCTTGTGACCCAAGGACTTGGGACCCTATACTCATGTGGGAGACCTGGAGGAGGCTCCTGGTTCCTGGGCTCAGATCAGCTCTGCTCTGGACATTTGGGGAGTGAACCAGTGGATGGAAGATCTTTCTGTCTCTCCCTCTCTCTCTGTAGATTTGCCTTTCAAATAAAATGAATAAATCTTAAAAAAAAAAACTGCTAAAAGAAAATATAACAACTTTTGATTGTAATTTGCTATAGTCTATTCATAGAATATTGTACCAGACTGTGTATACTGTAACTAGCCCACTTTCAGCTCATGTTGCATAATTAATATTTTTCCATGTCATTAAACAACTTCTTTTGCATCTTCACCGAGCCGTCATCTAAGCCCAAACAAAGAGAAGACTTGTAAACCAGGGGATTCAACAAGAACTCGGGGTTCTGAGTGGCAGAAATAGACTTGATGACCCAACTCAGCAGTCTCCCAGGGGTGGCCTTGGAATGAAGGGTGTGGATTCAGATTCCACGCTGACATACCTCAGAGCTGTGCTAGAAAGTCACCTGTATCCAGGGGTATCCTGAAAACAAGAGAGAGGAAGGAGAGGAGGAGGACAGAGCTGCACTTCATGAGTCAGCTGCTACGGCCTGACGGCCAGCCGCTCTGACATCAAGAGGTTTTGTATTTTGTTCCTTTGACCTTGCCACGTATCTTTTCCAGAACCACAGCACCCGGTAACATCTGGACCTCTGCCTATTGATGTCTGATTTAACAAAACCCCAAAACCACAGAAGTTGTAATAAACAAAGGTCTTCTGAATTCACCCTTTAGACTTAATGATTACACAAAAGAATCATGTCCTGGGTGTAGGTGGGTAGACTCTGGTGGATTCATTATGGGAAACAGCCACATGACTTCCTCCTGGAGGAACAGACTGTGGGGGAGGGCATGCTTTGACCCGGGTTCAGAAGACACTGGTATAGATGTAGGCACCCTGACCCAAGAATTGCTGGTATTGAGTCAGAGCAGTTCTGTGTACGCTCCTGGGGTATCATTGGATCTGTTGAGAAAACTCTATTCTTTGTCTTGGTTTCTTTATCTGCATATAAGATCAACTTTCTGAGAACAGGAGCTAGGTTGCCTCTGTTTTGTTTACTTCAATATTAGAATATTGACTACTGCTTAGAAGCAGTGTGTAAAGTGCCTGACATTTGGTGGGGAAAAAAAGTCTTTAGTGAGTTACTGATCGTATAATGGAGGGAAGGTCGGATTAGAAGAGTAAAGAGGAATGACAGAGGAATGGACAGATGAAGACAAGGATGGGTGCATGGATAGAATGACAAAATGGATGGATAAGACAGAGAAGTAGACGTATGAGCAGGTGGATGGTGGATAAGTGGCTTCATGGATGGGACTTGCTCTTGGTCCAATAGTTCAACTTGGGGGTTTTGCTGAAGCGATGAATCCAGATTTCTCTCTCACAAACCCCAACATCAGACTTTTTTTACATAATATTTATTCTTAACCATGAGAGGGCCCAGCCATAAGTGATCCCTTACTTATCTTTATTCCTTGTAAAACTCCCAAAACCTTTCACTGCAAACAGCAATAATAAGTAAAACACAGAACAAGCTCTCCAGAAATCTCTCACTGGGCATCACATTTCTTCTCAGTCATCTGATTTGTCATCAGGGTCGTGTGTGAGTGTGTGTGTGAGTCCAGATCAGGCAGGGAGGTACAGCCCTCACCAGCTCAACTGTGAGGCCACCATCACCCAGCCCTGGTAGCCTTCCTCCCACACAGCCCTGGGCTCATGCCCTCATCTCACTGCCATGTGATTCCTTTGTCAGGTACAGAGGTTTATGGAGAAATCTAGCCAAAGGGAAAAAAGGTGAGCTTCGGAATAAATCATGTGTTTGCAAGAACCAGAACATAAGGTCTTGATGTTCTTATTGTTTTTTTTTTTAATTTTGAAAACTTGACAATATGCAGGACTCCCACCACCACCTTGGCATAGTCTTTTGGCAGCCTGGCCATGTTTCTGCCATTCAAGGGATCCATATTACCAGTTACTATTATTTAATTGGTTTTTGCGTTGAGTTCAATTCAGGGAAAGTGTATCGAGGGCTGACTGTGCAAGCTGTTGTGTGTGACTTGCTACAAGAGGAAATCAGGTGACCAAAGAAGAGCATGAGCAAAATAAAGACAGAGAGAGAGAGCCCCAAATCCTCAGGGTCCAAGGACAAGGGGTGTCTTTTTTCTTTGCCTCCATGTGCAAGATCCTTCAGCAGTTCCTGAAGTCTGTCTCCATAGAAAAGTTCCAGGAAGCAGAAAAAAGGAGATTGATAAACATGAGCATGAAGTCATTAATCAAATAACATCTGCAATATCGGAAACGCAGTTGTGAATAGTTCAGAAGTAAACAGAGAATGAACTGCAAAAAGTAGATACAACCTGGAAAAAATAGATGCAACCTCGAAGCCACACTTCCGCTCTCAAAATCCAGTTACTCTCGCTCCATGCTCAGCCCTAACAAAAGTGATGCACCTGTTGCCTCGGTGAAAATTAACGGAAGAGAACTAGAAGACAAAGCCAGCTAGCCACAAAAGATGGAAACTCTAAACGTAGGAAAACGAGATTTTTGACAGTGAGGAACTTCATAAAAACTGTTTTAAAGATAATACATAAAAAAGTCAAAAGGTAGAATCATCTAAGAGAATCTGCCATGAAAGCAGTCAAGTTTAAACCTTCATGGTTTCTCAGAGTAGCTTTGTGATGACACAGTACACTGGAAACATTACTCAGTTTTCTAATATGAGGTCTTCTACTTGCTTGGAACCCTGAATAATTTCCTGTTAGCTATAATGATTTAAATCATTATTTCATTTGACTAAAGGTCAATGGTCTTCATAATATAGATGCAAAATATTTCAAACTTGCTGAAAGCAATCCCAGCACCACCGTTTCATTCAAAATGTGTGAAAAACAAATGGTAATTCTAATGAAACAGTCCACAGCCAACAATGCTGAATTGCCGGTCTGGTTCAGCACTCAGGTCCACTGAGTGGTGATCCAGTCTGCCCCAAGCCTGCCAGTGGTCAATTTTCTATGTGGAAGATCATGTAGGCCGATGATCTTTGAGTGACAGCGTGAAGGGCTAGCACCTGCCCAGTTTGCCATTAGGGCAGGAGAAGTCCCTTTTTGCTCACCTTGAACACTTGTTCCTTATCGGACCACTGAGCACAAGCCCTACAAGGGAGCATCAGAGAGTTCTCAAGAACTTAGCTTAGCTTACACTGCACAGAAGATATGCCTGTCCTTGCACTGTCCACATATTTGAGATTGGCAGTGCTAATCGTAAGATCCTGGATGTTCCCCTCCCCAGCAGGGTCCAGAAGGGATCTGCCCCTTGTCCACAGCCCTTTCCTTCTGATCAAGCCGCCCTGCTCTTGCAGATCAGTCCATGGCCATTGCCAGCTGTTATGCATTGTGATGCTATCTATGGTCATAGGACTGAGCCTCTGCTTTGGGACTGCTGATGCATGAACCACCCCCACACTCCCTTTATCGCTACTCCTCCCCCAACCACACTAAGCCCGTCTCTTTCCCTAAAGACAGACTCTTTCTTCCTTCTGTCCAAATTGACTGGCTCTGATTGCCTTTCTGTGTCCCAGGTCCACTCAGGTTTCTGGGCTTCATGGATGGACAGCTTCATGGGCCCAGCCCCTGTGGCCTGCATGGTGAGTTACCTCCAACTCACACCACCTTGAGTTGTTGGAGGACAGTCACACTCTCCCATCCCTCCTGCCACCCTCTGAGCACAGGATGCATGGTCCTTGGATGACTGGACACACCTTCTGTCACTATGAATTCCTGAGTGCCCCTATCCCTGCTGTGATACAATTGCCATCCTGCCACATGCCCTGCCCTTTCAACCCTTTACCATTCTTCAGAAACTTGCATGTTGTGAGATTTCCTTTTCCTCACAAAACATCCCACAGAAGGAAGGGCCTGGAGAAACCTGAGTCAGTGGGGATTGGCAGGCTGCACACACCCCTTCCCTATCCCCTGGGGAGTCGACCCTGCCCCTCTACCTCTTCCTACAACCACCTCTGTTCCTGCCCACCCCACCCTCATCAGCCCTGTGTTCCCACTTCCCCTGAACATACTCTGTTCTTCCCTCACTGCCTACAAACCCAGAAATCTGCATCTAAAACTAGAACTTGGTGTCTTCCCACACACAGCATCCTTCTCCTCTCTGTCCGCCAGCTCCAGGCAGCAGTGTCTGATGCCCCCAGGCTTGGACTTTTGACTCATCCACCTCCCAAGCTTTCTTCCCCCTCCCGGTGACCCCTTGCTAGGTTGCCATGGTGACTGGAAGCTTTCTTCATGGCATCTCTAGGTATTTCCTCATTTCCTCAGCCACAGTCAGGTCCAGGTTCCTAGTGACTTCTTGTGTGTCCAGAGGGGCAATGACTAAGAGGTAAGATGGGACTCAGAGGTCAAGAGCACTTCAGGGTTTGTGATTTTCTGGATTCACCCACGTTGAACTTGACTAGACACACTTTGTAAAGTCCCCTTGCCTTTCACCACTAGGGAGTTCTGGGCAGTGTTGTACCCCCTTCCCTTACCTCCTTGTGATGCTGTTCCCAGGCCCGTGATGGCTGTTACATAAACAATCATGGCATGGATGTCTGCCAGCTGGGAGCAGAGGAGAGGGGATGGCGGTGGCGGTGAGAGATTGTTCCAGAAGGAGAGCCACTATGTCTTCTGTGTCAAGGTTGGAAAACAGAGGCTGAACCCAAGAGCTGTCAACTTTAAAAGGTCTCTACAAGCAACCGGACGGGATGCCTCCTCAGAAACAGGACTGCATTTACAAAAGAATGATGTGAATTTCAGGGTCAAGGAGCTCCTGGACTTGTCTGTCTACTCCAAATAAGGAAGGTACTGCCTGCTCCTTGTGTCCAGCTGGGCCTGACACTGTCTGCTAAGCTCTGAAATGCAATTCTGTTGCGTAAGAGCTTTTTAGCCAAGGTGGGAGGTGTGCGAATGTTCCACAGTGGAATGCAGCCTACAGCCTCATGACATCACAGCAGCTGTGATGTCATAATGCCTTCCTCCCATGTTTGTGGTGACACAGGATACAGCAAACCTAGCATAACGCACACAGTCCTGTGTGATACACAATGTTTGAAAATTATAAACAACTGTGTTACAGATTCAGATATTCACTGTACATCATTTTTATTTTGCAAAAATAATTTGCAGTGGTTTGCTGCAAAATGGTGTGTTGAGGTGAGTGCTTAGTGTAGCTGTTAAACTAACAGTTGGTGGGGGGACCAGCACTATGGTATTGCAAGTTAATCCTCTGCTTGCACTGCCAGCATCCCATATGGGTGCCAGTTCGAGTCCTGGCTGCTTCGCTTTCCATCCAGCTCCCTACTTATGGCCTGAGAAAGCAGTAGAGATTGGCTTGGGTCCTTGGGACCCTGTACCCATGTGGGAAACCTGGAAGAAGTTCCTGGCTCCTGGCTTTGGATCAGCTCAGCTCCTGCCACAGTGGCTATTTGGGGAATGAACCAGCAGATGGAAAAAAATCTTTCTGTGTTTCTCTTTATCTGTAACTCTGCCTTTCCAATAAAAATAAATAATTTTTTAAAAGGTAACAGTTGGGTCACCCCACTCTCAGAGTGCCTTAGATTCAAGTGCCTGGCTCTGCCCTCTAGCTTCCTGCTAATGTGAATGGTGGCAGGTGATGGTCTAAGTAGTTGGGTCACTGCTTTCACACACATGAAAAATCAGGATGGAGTTTCTGACTTCCGGTTTTGGCCAGGCCCAGCCTCAGCTGTTGTAGCATTTGGGAAGTGACTTGGTTGATAGATCTCTTATCTATCAAATTAAATTAAATTGGAAAAAAAATCCAGATATCCTGTGTTATTCTGGCCTTATATATGTTGTGTTTATTACAAGCACTGAAGAGCCATGTCATGTGACTGTCTCATATTATTTTGTGTAGCAACACTCTGTAATGTTTACACAGTAGCAAGATTGCCTAACAGTGCACCTGTCAGAATGTAGCCCACTCTCAGCCATCTAAGACTCTATCCGAAGCAAGGAACATTGTGACAGAGAAGGAAAGACAGATATAGAGAAATCTTCCACCTGTTGATTCAATCCACAAATGTCTGCAATGGCCAGGGCTGGGCTAAACCAAAGTCAGAGGCCAGGAACGCCAACTGAGTCTCCATATGGGTGACAGGAAACCAAGTACTTGTTCCCTCTTCCGCTGCTTTCCCAGGCGCATTATCACAAAGTTGGATTGGGAACAGAATAGCCAGACATTACAATATGGGATGCTGGTGGGATAAGTAGCAGTTTAACCTGTCTGTTACACCACAATCCAGGTACCTATTGCCTTCTCTTACTGATATCAGATTCCAGGAGTAAGGCTGTCTTGTTTAAACATAAAAGGAAAACTCCAGAATTTTCACAGAATTTAAATACTTCTTGTTGCAAGGAATATGCCTGGTGTTGAAACTCAACCCTCAACTTATAAGATTTGCTCACCCTGCCTCCCACGCTCGGAGGGATGATCTGTTGCCCAGCCTGGGACCTTGCAGTGAGTTGTGTATGCAAATGACAGTCTGCATCCCTGGTATCTGCTCTCTGGTCATTCATTCAATTGAGTGCACTCTCACATGAGCACACACACTGCCAACACACATGCCCTGGGCCCTGCTCAATTACCTAGTGGCTAAAGTCCTCGCTTTGAATGTGCCAGGATCCCATATGGGCACTGGTTCATGTCCTGGCTGCTGCACCTCCCATCCAGCTCCCAGCTTGTGGCCTGGGAAAGCATTCAAGGATGGCTCAAAGCCTTGGATCCCTGCACCTGCATGGGAGACCCAGAAGAAGCTCCTGGATCCTGGCTTTGGATTGGCTCAGCTCCGGCCTTTGTGGCTATTTGGGGAGTGAATCAGTGGACAGAAGATCTTCCTTTGTGTCTCTCCTCCTGTCTGTATGTCTGATTTTTGAATTAATTTAAATTTAATTTAAAAATAAAATATATATGCTCTGAGGAACCCCACTTTGTATGGGACTTCTTGCCCCAAGTTGTCCAGAGTCCTCTACCTAGGGAATTTGTATGTGTAGAAGTCTTCACCAAAGTTATGCATCAAGCTGTGCAAGTTACCTTGCCAAAACCTGGAGAGGGAGTGATTGAAAAGGAAATGGGGGACAGTGTTCTTGAATGCAACTGACAAAGTTTATTTCCAGGGTTTCAGTTTTTATACATTCAGCAAAAACGATCGTTCAAACAGCTCAAACTTAGCTCATGTGAGTAAGCAGGAAGTTCAAGGGAAGCCAACAAGGTGCCTTGGTCAAAGCGCTGTTGAAATGGGGAATTAGCAAGGAGCTCTGTCTGCCCTTGGTTAGCTTGCTAGACAGAGCAACGGGTATTTGTCTTTTATCAAGGAGAGCACGAAAACGCTTCTAAGGACTCACTGGGGACAGCAGGCACTCTGGGCAGGGACCCTCACCTTCCTGGAGCCTTTTCTCAACAGGTTCCCAGCTTTGCATCTGTCACTCCAGCTTATCTTCTTGGATGCATTCAGACAGAGCTAAAAACTAGGTAATAGAGAGCCTCATTTATCTGTCATCTATCGATATTGTTATTGATGGTCTACCTACCCTCAGGTATGGATCATCTATGTATCTATCATTGATCTACTTGTACAGACCTATCATTTATCTATCTGAAATCTATCATTTGTCATCTGTCACCTATCACCCATCTATCTAACTTCTTTCTATCATCTTCTTATTACATATCATCTACCTATAATCTACATGTAATATCTATTGCCTACCACCTACTGTCTATCAGCCACCATCTGTTTTTTTTTTGTCATCTCTGTCACCTACCATTTATCTGTATATATCTATCACCTTCTGTCAGCTCACGCTATCAAATGTGCATTTTATGGAGTCTGTCTCCTCTCACCTATATCTATGCATCTGTCTGCTATGTATCTATAAAGCTGTAATCTGTTCTCTACCTTCATCTATCTCTATTATCTCTCATCTATCATCTGTTAGCCATCATCTACCATCTATGTATCTGTGTATATGTATGTATCTATTATCTGTTAACCTATTGTATCTATCTAACCAAACCATGGAGGGCTGACAAGGCCAGCCTCTGGGCCACAGGCACCCCTCCTACAAGGGCTTGAAGTGAGTTCTTGTAACGTACTTAAGGGATGAAATAGAGCATCACTTTGGCACTGGAGAAATGAGAGACACAGCTTTGGGGAATGTCCCTCCCTTCCTCCGCTATCTTCACCAGTTTTTGGCTGAGACATCATTCTAAGCCACTCTGTAATTAAAGGCTTAATCTGTCATGAAGCATAACTTGGAAAAAACAAAATAGGAAGACCCCTACTTAAAAAGTATAAGCAAGAGCTAAACAAAGCAGTCTTACCCCAAATGGTCATAATCTTTAAAGCTTCCAGTAAGGCCCACATTTTACACTTGGTTGGGTTCCAGTGTTTAAAAAAAAAAAAGCACCTGTCAAACTGTTGTGCAGGGGGACTCACTCTCCTCAAGTGGTCCTCACTCCACACCCAGGCTGCAGACCTCTTCTTTAGAAGAGATTAGAACACAGGGAAGCTTTGATTAACATGTCCATTGTGTGGGCAGTGCAGTACACAAAATTCCCAGACACCGGGCAGCAGAATCCGCCACGTGGGAGAAGACTCCTGAGAAAAGGGAAGCTGGACACATGAGATAATCTAATGAGATTTGCAGCTTCCAGTTCCTTTCATGGTAGAGATCTTGGTTCCCACCCTGCTCCATCTTGTGCAGTTTGAACAGAATATCTGGGAGCTGGTGTTGTGGCCCTGAACACTGCTGAGAGTTACAGCTGCTCCTCTTTGGATCCAGCTTCCTGCTGATGTGTCTGGGATGGCAGTAGAAAATGGCCAGAGAGCTTGGGCCTCTGCCAACAACGGGGGAGACCCGGGTGGGGTCCCTAGCTCCTGACTTCAGCCTAACCTAGTGTCACTTGGTTGTGACCATTTGGGGAGTGAACCAGTGAATAGAAGTTCTCTCTGTGTCCCTCCTATCTCCTGTCTCTCTCTTATTCTCCCTCTGTCACTTCACATTCAAAGGAATAAATGCATCTTTAAAGAAAACACAAGGCATCTGAGGATGGGTAACACATGAAGAAAAGAATTGGCAAGCCAGAAAGTTTGATGCCATGTCCTGATAGGGGACCCATTGGCTATATCTCAATCTGGCAGTGACCCCAACAGGAAGTTGGTCAGATGCAGAAGGGACCGGCACATGGGACAGTGTAGTTTTCTAACAACTGCTGTCAGTAAAACTCACCTGAGTTCTCTAGAATGGCACCAATCTCTTCCAAGCGCACTGCCCAACTCTCTTGCCCCCTGCCTGTAAGCACCACCTGCCTGTAAGCACCACCTGCCTGTAAGCACCACCTCCTCTAGTCTCCACTTCCTCAGCATCACCACAGGTCCCTGAGCCTCTTGCACAGGAACCTCAACCCTTCTTACATCCTAATGATCCCTGTCCTATAAACAGGAACAGAAAATCCAAGAGAGAAGGGAACTTGGACAAGTTTGCTCCAATGGGAAGCCCAATGTCCCTTAGTTACAGGGGGCGAGGGGCTTCCTCCCTAGTATTCTAGACTTCTCTGGACTTGAAATCCAGAAAAGATGTATTAGGACAATCCCAAGGGGTTTCACATTCTGTTTGCCATCAGGAAATGAAGGAAGGTGGTGGTGGGAACCCAACAGAAGAACAACTGGGAACAAGTACACCCACTGACTAGGCCGTTTTCTCCATCTGTTTCAATTGTCACTAGATGGACAGCAAGAACCAATGAATCATCTTGTGAGATTTGCTGAGTTTTGCTGGGCAGCAGGTGTTTTTCCTGCATCACAAACATCCCCCGTGTTCACCTGGAAC